CACCCTGCCTTGGTGGGAATCGGCCAGTGTGATAATAAAAAAAAAATAAAAATAATATATACGTTTACGAGGTACCGTGTTTGACGTATATATACTCATAAATTCTAGCGGCTTCAAATCAGGCAGGAGAAAGCTGGTAGGCCCACATGTGAGAGAATGTGTCTGTGTGGTCAGTGTGCACCATATAAAAAAAAATCCTGGAGCACGCAGTGCATAATGAGAAAAAAAAAACTCCGACCGTTTTTTTTAATTGAAATGCCAACTTTGTGGTCTATTTTCGTATAGTATTTGTGGTTGTATTCTCGTTTTCTTGGTCTCATTTGATAGAATGGAAACTATATTATAGAAATGGAGGTGATTTTGATTAATTTTAATATAAAAAGAGAGAGAGAATGGAGCAGAATACAGGAAATGACGTTCAAGAGTAAATCAGTCTGTAGTGGAAGGAAAGCCGGGGTATGGTGGTCCCTAGAAGGGTTGGAGGGAAGGGGTTAAATTAGAGTATTGTAGTGCCGAAGTTGGCTTTTTGACTTCAGCAAGGCAATGCGTGAGCGTGTTATAGGAGTGAATGGAGAACAAATGTTTTTTAATACTTGACGTGCTGTTGGAGTGTGATGCAAATGTAATTTTGAAGGGATTTCAGGAAACCGTCAGGCCGGACTTGACCGTTTGGAGAATGGGAAGTACAGTGCCTGCACTCTGAAGGAGGGGTGTTAAAAAGTTGCAGTTTAATACTGTAGTGTAATAGCCCCTGTCTGGCAAGACAGTGATGGAGTGAATGATGGTGAAAGTTTTTCTTTTTTCGGGCCACCCTGCCTTGGTGTTTAAATCAGGCCGTAGTGTATATATAAAAATAAAATTAATAAAAAAAAGAACCTGTGAAATGGAGCACAAAGTACGAAATGTTTGATTTTTGCCGATGTTCAAAGTAAACCCAATCATGTCATTGTCCAATAAATGTCCAAAAGCCATTCTAATATGCAGTCATAATGGGTTGATGTAATTTTTACAAATTCAAGTACTTGCAGTAGTCTGCATAACAGAAATCTTCTATTTTTTGTTGAGTAAAATTTCAAATAAAAAGCAAGGTAATATCACAGGGGGCCTGGAGACATGACTGATGACAAAGAAAATGTTATTTAGAGCCAGGAATGTCTGCATTGTTCATTCTGGTCCTTATTTTGAAATTGTCATATTTTTTAATTTTCATGAAATTGGCCAAATTGCAAATTTCTGACCATGTTATTGGGTAGTTGAAATCGGTAAATGGGCAGTTTCTTGCACTCAATCGATGGAAAAAATGGAGTTCTGAAGAAATAGCTATGAGTTTGGTTGACTGGAATAATGGAATTAGCCGAAAATAGGGCTCAAAGTGGGCGAAATCTTCGATTTGTAAATATCGCCGAGGTCGCTAACTTCGCGAGAGCGTAATTCCGTCAGTTTTCCATCAAATTTCTTTCTCTTGGTGTCTTTACAATCAGGAAAAGATTCTCTATCATTCCATAAGAAACTTTTTTTTTTTTTTTTTTTTTTTTTTTTTTTTTTTTTTTTTTTTTTTTTTTTTTTTTGAAATTTTGCGACACCAGGAGACACCTCAGGATTGGGGGTTGCGACAGTCAAAGGGTTAAAGTTAAAAATAATGGTTTCAAGTATAAAATAAAACACTCAAGCACTCTTAGTGATTTTAATGTGTATCTGCATACCAGCACAGTGTGTAAGTTTACTTAGGTACAGGTACACATAAGTACAGTGGACCCCCGCATAGCGAACTTAATCCGTGCAAGAGGGCTGGTCGTTATGCGAAATGTTCGCTATGCGAATTAATTTTCCCCATAAGAAATAATGGAAATAAAATTAATCCGTGCAAGACACCCAAAAGTATGAAAAAAAATTTTTTTTACCACAAAAAAATGTTAATTTTAGTACACACAAACTGAAAAAGGCATGCACAATTACATGACACTTACTTTTATTGAAGATCTGGTGATGATTGATGGGATGGGAGGAGGGGAGAGCATTATCTTCTTACTGTTTAGAAGGGGAATCCCCTTCCATTAGGACTTGAGGTAGCAAGTCCTTTTCTGGGGTTACTTCCCTTCTTCTTTTAATGCCACTAGGACCAGCTTGAGAGTCACTGGACCTCTGTCGCACAACAAATCTGTCCATAGAGCTCTGTACCTCCCGTTCCTTCAAGACTTTCCTAAAATGGGCCATAACATTGTCATTGAAATAGTCACCAGCACGGCTTGCAACAGCTGTGTCAGGGTGATTTTCATCCATAAAGGTTTGCAGTTCAACCCACTGTGCACACATTTCCTTAATTTTTGAAGTAGGCACAATGGATTCCACAACTGGCATAGGCTTCTCAGGGTTAGCCCCAAACCCTTCAAAATCTTTCTTAATTTCCATACTAATTCTCACCCTTTTTACCACAGGGTTGGCACTAGAAGCTTTCTTGGGGCCCATGGTCACTTATTTTCCAGAAACAGCACCGAAAACACTGTAATAATACGAAATATTCCGAGTGTATGCTTGAATGTTACCGCGGAGGCTAGCTGGTAAACAATGGGACGGGCGGCACATGTGAGGCTGGCTGAGGGCCCACATTGGACGCGTCTCGGACGAAGTTCGCTGAGCGGGTTTTTGTCTACTATGCGGGGCAAAATTTCAGCGAACAAAGCGTTCGCTATGCGGATTGTTCGCTATGCAAGGCGTTCGCTATGCGGGGGTCCACTGTATAATTATGAGAGTTATAATAATAATAGAGATATGTTCAAGGTTGCCAGATTGGCCATTCCATGGCCAAATTTGTGAAATTCAACCATTTTTTGAACTCTGTGGCTATGAAAAAATGAGTTTGGCCCTTTTGGCAAATGTGGCCACCAATTTAGCCATTTTTACAAATATTTCAGATCATGTACTTTATTTACTTAGTTTAATATGGTTATCTCATTGTAAGGCTAACTGTTGGTACTCCTTTATACGGTGTTTGGTTGGCGATGATGCGCTTGATGCAAATTCACTGTTACTGAAAATTTTTGTTCGATGATGTCATAATGAGTCTTTGGTAGCTAGCTTAAAGTTTGTTACTATGATTCCCTCAATAACACCAAGCATGCTTGAGCTTCGTTCTGTACTTGTATAAAACAAGTACACAAAGCTCCCACTCACTATTGTTTCTATAAACTTGATCCAGTTCTGTTGATAAATACCACCAAACATGCTGCAGCTTCATTTTGTACGCATACAAAACACGTACGCAACAGCCATACCGGCTTGAGTCCATGTCTGTTTTGATTGTCTCTAGTTAGTTAAGGCGTAGACTTAGTGTTGCAAGTGTTGTTCCATTGCGTGATATCAGACATTTGGTGATTTTTGCTGATAGTTCTATCAGCATTGTGACAAAATGCAAGTAATATGTCCAGTTTCGTAAAATAGTGACTAAGTGATTTTTAGTATAATTATTGAATAATTATTTTAATATTGTTTATAAACTCGATCTTTGTCTTGCTTATATTTTTTTATTTTCCCTTTACCACATTGGTGTTTGCTGTGCCACATTAGTATGTATTTGTAGTATTATAATTTGTTTTTTGTTTTTTCATTATCAGAATTGTGATTTTTTTTTTCAAGCCCTTTAAAATGCCTAAGTATAAAAGTGATTAACTCTAGCTAGCTGGTCTAGTGGCTAACGCGACGGGCTGGAGTTTTGAGACTCTATGACCGCGGGTTCAATCCCGGCCGGGGGTATGGTTTATAAAAGTGATAGAAGAGGTGGAAGAAAATATAGAAAAGTGTCAGAAGTAAAATATTTGTGGGTGAAATCTTTTGATGATGGGCAAAATGCATATTACAAAACTAACTTGCTGCCAAAACTTTATACATATGCTCATGAAAAATCTAAGAAACACCAAGATAAATCTCCCAGTACATCACAAACAACTCTAGATAAAGTCATCAAATTGTCCATTAATGACCAGGAAAAACAAGCAGAAATAGAACTTAGCCAGGCAGTAACATGTCATTCCTCACTGTAAGTATTTTAAGTTTAATTAAAAGTATTTTTGATGATATGTAATCGAATACATAGGCATAATTTATGCACACTTAATTGTTGGTATGTTAATTCACACAATTCAGTCATTTTATATCTTTGGCCATATTTTTCGCCTAATACTTTTCCAAAGTGGCCATTTTTGGCCATATTTTCTTCAAATTTTGGCCATAAGCTGTTGTGTTCATCTGGCAACCCTGGGTATGTAGTCTGCCTGGGTTACATAGCTACACCTACCTACATAGCATGTTTATATAAACAAAGCTTGTTTATATGCTATGTAATGTGTTTCTCATATAATTTTGAAGAAAATATCATAGATGGATTAATGAAAATATCTGTATGAACGTAAAATAAGACATTTAATGTGCCCAGGAGTGATTATTATTAGTACGTATTACGTAATGTTTTCCCTCCGCCCGGCAACCACACCTCCATAGTATATAAACAGCATGTTTATATGCTATGTAATGTGTTTCTTATATAATTCTGAAGAAAATATTATAGCTGGACAAGCGAAAATGTTTATAATGATGTAAAATAAGACATTTAATGTGCCCAAGAGTGATTATTTCTACATAACAGAGAGATGTGCTCACAGAGAATGCAAACAAACCGGGTGGCGTGCGCCGTATTTGAAAGACCACTTGCCACATAGAAAGTTTTGTTTCAGAATTTAAAATTGCCATATTAGCAGAACACCATAAAGTGAAACGCCGTAAAGCGGGGCCCTACTGTAGGTACAAAAATGAATCTAAAACTTGTGATTCAAATTATTTATTAGTAATGTGAACATTATTTGCAAGTTGTAATCCTTCAGTGGTGCTTAAAACTTCTAAATACAATTTATTTTCAGCTGTTTTATATATCTACTCCTCTCTATTTGTGAGGAGCAAGTTTTATAAGAAAAATATAAAAAGATTTGTTGATGTTATTTTTTCTTCAGGCACAAATGGTGGCATCAGCTTCATTGGTCTGGTTGTTAGCCTTCTAGGAGGACTTGTTGTAGGTATCGGCCATTACTTAACGTTACTGATGTGTGTATCCAACCCTGTCATGATCTCAGCACCTCCACAGTGGCCAATTATCTTTGTTGGAGCTGCTGGGGGACTAATGGGTAGTCTAATTGATTCAGTACTTGGAGCAACCATGCAGTTCTCAGGTCAGTGCAAGTATTGACATATGCCATATCATGATTTAATATTATTTAAATGGTATGATTATTTTATACCTGTATAATAATAATAATAATAATATCTTTATTGACTACAAGTACATGTACATGGTATACAGGCATAGCTGACATCAGTGACATACTACTATATAGAAAGCCCCTTGTTATGCTGAGCATTTCAGGCAAATTAGGTCAGTGTCCCAGGATGCGACCTACACCAGTTGACTAACACCCAGGTACCCATTTACTGATGGGTGAACATAGACAACAGGTGTAAAGAAACATGCCTGTGGGAAGGGGCTTCATGTAGGATTATCCTGCTTTGTGCTACTTCTTATTGTTTGATATTTAAAAGAACCTTTCACATTTGCTGAAAATTTCCTGAGATGGTGGTGGGTGTCAAAGATGTTTAAAATGGTAGAGCTTGAGCTTCCAGCTGGCTTTCCCATGTTGGAGGAGACAAATGATTTTGGATATTTTACTTGCTGTTTAAGCACACAAGTACAATTTATATCAGTATCCTCACACACAGGCTGTATAATTAAGTGGGTGTCATGGCGAGAGGATGATGCTTAATGGGAGGACATCTAGTCTCATTGCATAGTAGATTATTCCTTTATTTCAGGCATTACTGGCAGTGATAACAAAGGGGTGACACACTGTAACTTAAACACCATTATGAGCTGATGAGTATTGCACATAAAACATATGCAAAATGAACAGAAGTGAGTTTGGGCAATGCCTGAAGATGTTGATAAAGTGATCATCACAATGAGACATGATGCTTAGTGTGTGGAGAGCAGTGATATTATTTTACATAATTGTACCAAACGAGTAAAAGTAATTGCAGTGATACGAGCAACAAATGTTTTGATCTGATGAATATATAAAAAAAAAAACATACATACTAACAGAAACATTGCAGGTCCCTCCTCACTGGGGTGAACAAATAGGTACGAAGTCATTGTACTAGACAGAAAAATCTTTTCTAATGATATGTGAACAAATCACATACTTCATACTTTTTTAAGAGAAGTATTGAGGCCATGGTTGGTATGGTTGTGATGCACACCTACTAAAATTTTATTGCAATTTTTTTTTTTTTTTTTTTTTTTTTTGTGTGTGTGTGTGTGTATTCACCTATTTGTGGATGCAGGGGTCAAGTCATAGCTCCTGACCCCACTTCTTCACTAATCGCTACTAGGTTACTCTCCCTGCTTCATGAGCTGTATCAAACCTCATCTTAAAACTATGTATGGTTCCTGCCTCCACTATGTCACTTGCCAGACTATTCCACTTTCTGACAACTCTATGACTAGAGAAGTACTTCCTAACATCCCTTTGACTCATTTGAGTCTTCAGCTTCCAATTGTGATCCCTTGTTTCTGTGTTCCATCTCTGGAACATCCTGTCTCTGTCCACCTTGTCAATTCCTTGCAGTATTTTGTATATTGTTATCATGTCTCCACTAATGCTCCTGTCCTCCAGTGTCATCAGCCCAATTTTCCTTAACCTTTCTTTTTAGGACATTCCCCTTAGCTCTGGAACTAGTCTTGTTGCAAACCTTTGCGCTTTTTTCTAATTTCTTGGCGTGCTTGACCAGGTGTGGGTTCCAAACTGGTTCTGCATACTCCAGTATGGGTCTGATGCACATGGTGTACAGAGACTTGAACGATTCCTTACTAAGGTATCGGAATGCTATTCTCAGGTTTGCCAGGCGCCCATATGCTGCAGCATCTGTCTGGTTGATTTGTGCCTCAGAGGAGATGTGCTCTATATTATACTCGCCCCAAGATCCTTTCCCTTGAGTGAGGTTTGCATACTTTGGCCACTTAGCATATACTCTATCTGCAGTCTTCTTTGCCCTTCCCCAGTCTTCATGTCATTGCATTCAGTGGGGTTAAATTCGAGGAGCCAGTTGCTGGACTAGGCTTGCAGCCTGTCCAGGTCTCTTTGTAGTCCTGCCTGATCCTCTGACACCTCATCTTGTACTTAACTCGTTGCCTCCCTGTCAGGTATTCTCTGATCAATTGCAGTGCCCTTCCTGTTATGCATGCCTGATCCTCTAGCTTTTACACTAATCTCTTGCGACGAACTGTGTCGAAGGCCTTCTTGCAATCCAAGAAAATGCAATCTACCCACCCCTTTCTCTCGTGTCTTAATACCACTATCTTGTCATAAAACTCCAGTAGGTTTCTGACACAGGATTTTCCTTCCCTGAACCCATGCTAGTTATCATTTATAAGTTTGTTCCATTCGAGGTGCTCCACCACTCTCCTCTTGATAATCTTCTCAATGGCTTTGCATACTATACATGTCAGTGACACTGGTCTGTAGTTTAGTGCCTCATGTCTGTCTCCTTTCTTAAAAATGGGGACTACATTTGCCATCTTCCATACCTCAGGTAGTTGCCCAGTTTCAGTGGTGTTGAAAATTGTTGTTAGTGGCATATACTGCATCTCTGCTCCCTCTAAGGACCCATGGAGAGATGTTGTTTGGTCCCACCACCTTTGTGGTATCTAGTTCACTTAGCAGCTTCTTTACCCCCTCCGCGGTTGTGTGTATTTCATCCAGCACTTGTTGGTATATTCCTTGTTGGTGTACTCCCCTATTCTGACTTCCCTGAGGCCTTACTCATATATATGACTGTTTCGGTCGTATATATACGTTTTACGAGCCAATGTGTTCAAGCAGGTACTGGACAAGCACCTAAAGTCAGTACCTGACCAGCTGGGCTGTGGCTCGTACACTGGATTGCGTGCAGCCAGCAGTAGCAGCCTAGTTGATCAGGCTCTGATCCACCATGAGGCCTGGTCACAGACTGGGCCACGGGGGCATTGACCCCCAGAACTCTGTCCAGGTAAACTCCAGGTAATACTCAAAAATTCTAGCGGCTTCAAATCGAGCAGGAGAAAGCTGGTAGGCCCACATGTGAGAGAATGGGTCTGTGTAGTCAGTGTGCACTGTATAAAAAAAATCCTGCAGCACGCAGTGCTTAATGAGAGGAAAAAAAAAAACTCCGACCATGCTTTTGGATTAAAACGCCAACTTTGAGGTGTATTTTCATATAGTTTTTATGGTTATATTCTAGTTTTCGTAGTCACAGTTGATAGAATGGAAAACATATTATAGAAATAGAGGTGATTTTGATTGGTTTTACTATGAATAGGACCTTGAAATGAGCTCAAAATAGGGGAAATGCTTGAGTTTTGCCTATGTTCAAGAGTAAACAAATGATGTCATTGTCCAATAAATGTCCAACTAGCCATTCTAATATGCAGTCATGAATGGGTTGACATTATTTATACAATTATTACAATATTGCAGTAGTCTGCATAACAGTAAATCTTCTATTTTTTGTTTGAATAAAAATTCAAAATAGAAAGCAAGAGTAATATCAGAGGGGCCTGGAGATGTGACTGATGAACAAAGGAAATGTTATTTTAGAGCCAGGAATGTCTGCATTGTTCATTCTGGACCCTGTTTTGAAATTGGCATATTTTTTAATTTACATGAAGTTGACCAAATTGCCAATTTCTGACCACTTTATTGGGTAGTTGAAATGGATAAATGGGCAGTTTCTTGTACTCAATCAATAGAACAAATGGAGTTCTAAAGAAATAGCTATGAGTTTGGTCTATTGGAACAATGGCATTAGCCGAAAATAGGGCTCAAAGTGGGCAAAATCGCCAATTCATAAATATCACTGAGGTTGCTAACTTCGCGAGAGCGTAATTCCGTAAGTTTTCCATGAGATTTCATGCTTTTGGTGTCATTACCATCGAGAAAAGATTCTCTGTCATTTCATAAGAAAAAAATAATTTTTTTTTTTAATATTTTGCAATACCAGGAGACACCTCAGGATTTATGGTTGCAAAAGTCACATTCTTTCCTTAGCTTGATTATGTGGTCCTTGACTGTTGTCTTCCTCCTGATGTGAATATACAGCAGCTTCAGGTCAGACTTGACTTTCAATGATATTTCATTTTCATTCGTCACAGGTGTTTAATGCGATTTATTTGGTGAGTCAGTGGCGTGGGTGAATTATAAACATCTTCGGAGGCTTCTTTACTTTATTAGTAATGTAGTGGTGGGTACACAGGCTTGTGTGTTGTGCCCATGGCCCAGGAGGCCATGCCCTCGAGAGGGGAGAACCACTAGGCCTTATGTCTTCCTGCTAGGCTGCTGTGAGAGTGAGAGAGTGTGGGACCAGCTTCCCACAGACCTGGGCAGGCCCAGAGGGCAGCACCTGAGTGGCACAAAATATGAAATAAGTTGGCAGATAGCATAGGCTGTCTACATTCGCTCAGCCACCTACCTCGCGTCGTCCCGATGCGACAATACTGGTGGTAAAAAAAACTCGGGCTCTCTCTCATAGGAACAGGGCACAGAACACAGAATAAAAACATATATATACATATGGACATGGAAAAAAAAACTTCCTACAGGGAGGGAAGAAAAAAAACATGTGGGGTGTGCTAAACATCGTGGTCAAAGGCAGTGAGCATCAAAGGGCATCACTGCACGCCTTCCTGCGTCTGGACAGATACTGCAACACAGGAGACATCGCTGCGGCTGAGCTGTGATGGTGAAGCAGTCATAGGAGTCGCTGCAGGTTTCACTCAACCTGGGGCACGACATGCTGGTGCCCTTGAGTGAGGTGTCGACAAAACTCGGCAACTGGGCATGACTTCTGGCAAGCAACTCAGGAGGACACTTCTCGACTGGTACTGTCACTGGGCTGTCACTGCCGGCGAGCGTGGAGCGAGTTGTGGAGCGAGTCATGGCAGAGACGACTGGGCGAAACATCTGGGAGTCGTAACATCATACACCAGACTGCAGTGAGCAAGCTAGCAGTCAAAGAGACATCAACTTTGTTCAGGCTGCTCACTGATGCTTGTGACACGAGGCTGACACAGCACCTGCCGACAGGGCTAACTGCGGCTTGATGAGTGTCATTCTCTCGGCAGTTGGAGTTACAGCAGAGGTTAGTCTAAGCGTCCCCAGACTTGTTTCTCTACATATAACTGCATTTTGAAGGTCTGGAGGTGAAGTGAAACAAATCTCGATGGGAATCGTAGCAGGTACGATTCTGCAGAACATCACGAGCGACGAGCATAAGAGCTTTCTGTACAAGAGGGCTCGGGCTCAGAGCTGACTGATATCAGCTGTCAAACACACTGGTCACACCGGGTGACTAAGCACAGTGGTGCTACTCAGGTCTGGCTCAGACCTCACTGGACACACTGAAACTACACACACCTGCGGTACATGCGGTACAACATGGCTTAAACTAGCAAATTATGCTTTTCTGTGCACAAAACTGACACTAAGCCATACACTAACATGTGAGAACACTGACTGAGAGGAATTAACCCTTTGAGGGTTTCGGAAGTACTAGTACGGCTTACGACCCAGGGTTTTGGACGTACTAGTACGCCTAAATTCTAGCGCCCTCAAATCTAGTGGGAGAAAGCTGGTAGGCCTCCATATGAAAGAATGGGTCTATGTGGTCAGTGTGCACGGTATTAAAAAAAATCCTGCAGCACACAGTGCATAATGAGAAAAAAAAAACTTTGACCGTTTTTTTGGAATAAAACAGCGACTTTGCACTGTATTTTCGTATGGTATTTATTGTTGTATTCTAGTTTTCTTGGTCTCATTTTATAGGATGGAAGGCATATCAT